CATGCCGCAAAATTAAGATCTCCTCCTTTTGGTCCTCTGGTTTATTTTTCCTTTTCCCTTTAAGTAGGTCTTGACAAATTGAGACCACTTTAGGTAGTTCTTCCCATTTAGGCGATAGGAAGGTTGCATACCTTAAAGATCACCTCATTCTTGATAAAATCTTATATTTGATCAAATCTTTGGGACGAATTTTCTTCAGACATTGTGGTGTTATAATAGCAATAAAGGCCGATTAGGTAATATCAGCAATAAAGGCTGATTTCATGTCTTAATCAGGTCTCAAATCTGATTTAAGATTCCTTGTTGTTGTCAACCTGTCCCGTCTGTCTCTGTGGATCGGAAGGGGCATCCGATTGAGTCTAAGAACATCAGGCGAACATCGCCGAGCATCTTCTCTGATCGTTTGGGAGAACTGGCTTCTTCCGAGCGTGAGCAGCCGATCGTCGAGCATCTTCTCTGATCGTTCGATCGAATTGTCTTCGTCGAGCGTCCGAGCGTTGAGCATCTTCGTCTTCTTCCTACCTTTCGAGCGTCGCCTTCTTGCATCTAAAGGTCGAAGTGTGAGTGTCTGATCGTCCGATCGTCGCCTTCTTGCATCGCCTTCGGTTTCATCTTCCTCCGATAAAACTTCTTTCGCCTGGCTTCCAATGGCTTCCTCCCTATCTCGTTCGTGGCTCTAATACCATGTTGAATTCAGAAGATTGGAGAGGGAAAAAGCTTGAAACTTTATTCAACATGATCCCTATTTATAGTCTATACAAGATGCTTATATAAAGAAACAAATTATTACACAATAAAGAGTAATACAATCCTTCCTAATTTTGTTGTCTAACTAAGGAAGGCTCATAACGTGAGGGAGCTTCCCACGGATTGCTATTTGTAGCCGTGGGATTAATCCAAGATTAAAGGTCTGGGATTTAACAAAAAAAAGTACATGATACTTGACATTGCATAACACATTGTCAATGGATAAATTTTTTCATCGACTACAATCATATAAGAAAATAAATTTGAAATAATATTTGGAGAAATAATTAAGAAAGTAATTTCCTATTGAAAGGGAACTACATAAAGTTTTCCTTCAACTACAAAAGGTGCTTACATAGAATATTAAATCATGTCACATTTTTCTGTAATTGTTACACTAGTGAGCAGATTCATGTATCATGAACATATAGCATACAAATGTACGAATTATTCAAAAATACCTTAATTTTCTGATGTGAAACAATAGGCGATGAACAAGAATTGCCTTGGCGAAATTAATAAAGGTGATGAAATTAATCTTGCTAAAAATAAATCTTTGCTTGCTCAAGATTGAATTAAGAAGTTAATGTCAGATTTAGTAAGGGCAATAGATTACATGTAGAGATTACGTTAACTTGCAAAATAACAACTAAACATTTAAATAATGCAAATAGCTAATGATAACAAAGCCCCAAATTTAAAGTCTAGATCGTTCACCTTGAGATCCGTCACTCGTTTTGAAAGTGGTGGCTAGCGGAAGAGAATCGAAAGTAGACTTAGCGACGCCACTAATAGACAAGTGATCTTGAGAGGACTTGTCGCCGGGAAGGAAGCCGGGTTCGAAGGAGCGGGTGGACGGCCGTCAATGATCCACTCGGAGTCTGGGCGTTGTTTGTCGATGATGTGTATGAGCGTCGGTAGGATTCGATCCAAGTAGGCTCCAACAGTATCTTCGTCGGACTCAAATCCCGCGTCGAAGAACGGCGATCGATGGATGTCGAGGTTGCCGTGAGCGTCGAACACAAGTCCCCATTCAAGCTCGGGGTCCGCCATGAATGGTGGGAAAGGGGAATGAGGACAAAGAGGAAAGAGGAGAGGGTAAATTGTGAGCCCATGGAGGGAGGGGAGTCACGGGTAGGAGAGGGGGTAGCGGCGGGTAGAATTGTGGGGGATAAAAGCTAGAATTCTGATATTGATTTCAGATTTCCGGAATTGGCACCCTTCTAATTTTAATTTCAGAATTTGAAATTGAAATTAAGATTAGGAGGGAAGGGGTTAAAGAGATATTAAAGAAAATTAAAAACGGGAAAAGGGAAGGGGTTGGCTGGCCATGTAGAGAGGAGAGGGGAAATTAATTTTCATTAGGTGGGGCCCATGGTTAAGTAATTAAATCCTAATCAAATTTTGAAATTATAATTTCAGTTTTAATTGGGACTTAAGTAACTTCCCAATTTGGGTTAATATGAGAGGGAAACAAATTCAAATTTCAAAATAGCTCTAAGTGTCATTAATTACCTTGCCTTAAGAAGAATTCTTGATTAGGCAATTAATTAAGTCACCAGGAATTGGAATTCACGGCTTGGGCAAGGCATGGAGGTCCGGCGGCAAGGGAGCTGCAGGGAGACGGTGGGCTGGAGGCTCACGGCTTGGCTGTTTAGCCGTGAGGTTGGGAGCAGCAAGGGGGGATGGCTGCACGGGGAGAGCACCAGGCCGGCGGCCCAAGGGCTGGAGGGTGGACTGGCCGGCGGTCGGCAGCCAGGTGCCCGACGGCTTGGGTGGCTTGGGGCTGAGCGGTGGCAATTGCAAGGGGAGGAAGAGAGGAAAGATTCAAGGTATTCAAACGACTACAAATTTACTAACCTCAAATATCTTCTCTTTGAATTTCCACAAGATTATCAAGCACGAGAATTAGAACTCACAAAGAGATCTAGTCTTCTCTGGCGAACTCACTAAGAAATCTTGGAGGGAGGAACTCACAAAGAGAACAAGTAGTAAATTTCATTTCATCCAAAAACTAAATCATTCCAATACATGATGTCTCATATAAGGAGGCCAAAAAATAAAAGCTGAAAAGACAGAAATGACCTCTGGGCTACATAAGCAAAACAATGCCCTCAGGGGCAAACTAGGAAAACTAAAATACATATGAAATAAGCTGCAAATAAATTAGAAATAGAGGCTCTGGATCGTAGCCGTCGATCTGCGCCGCCGGCGATGATACACGTGTCAAAATCTGATGTCCCCATCATTTTCATTTCTTGTCTTTTCAAAAGTATGGCAAATACATGTATTTTAAACATTAAGTGCATAGTACTCAAATTATATATATTATAGTCCCGTTTTATGAAAAATATTACCTTAGATCCCTAATTTTTTATTTAATTTAATTAAACAATTTGTACTTTTCAATTTGAACACTTGAATAAAATATCTATATATGTGCACAAATCAGTGTGCATTTAATGCAAGTTCCATAGTTTACTAAATATATCGGTACCATTCAATGAGAATGCATTGAAATCAAAGTCTCGTACATATAAAGTATGAACTTATCAACATTAATATAAAATAAAGAACTAGCCGTACATAAAATACTTCTTAAGAATATATAGACAGGAGTGTTAACGCCGACCAAAAAAAAAATGAAAGGCAACTTGAGCTTGGTGGCAATGAGAATACCATGCAAACGTGGTAAAATTAAAAAGGATAAACTGAGGCATGATTATCTTAAAGGGCTGGCAGGAGTAATACCTAATAAAGATATGCCAGTTGAAAATACACTTGGGCGTACCACAAAAAATAGATAATACAGATAGATTTATTGTCAAAAGGATTTGGAAGAAAATGGTGCTTGCTAAGTAACATGGCTAATAGTTGTTAAAAAAAATTGTGAGAGTAGGGTAAATGTCTCCTGCAACACTCAACAAGAATGAATAGAAAATGAGAATTCATAAAACATGCCACAAATAATTGGGATAAGGTTAATGTTAATGATGATGATAATAAATATATAGTGCCTCATTCGAAACCATAAAACAAATGTCATTGCATCCAACAACCCAGGAAAATACATAAAACATCAAAATCAAAAATATCTACAAGAATGGAAGCCATATCAATCCATACATCTGGGAAAGAGCAAGTTAGCTTGAAAAGTAGATGCTGTCCTAATCTTGCAATGGCAACACATAATAAACTTAGGCTATAGCAATACATGCAGAACTAGAATCCCATATAGCATATATAGTAAATTTCCCATACAAAATAACACATTTTAAGCAGAACAAGCATCTTGTTACCAGTAAAAAATTTGGTTTAGTCAGCATGGACATACCAGAAGAAATAACCATGTAAGCTAGTTGCAGGTTTCCATTTTCAGAAGCAATTGGATCATGTATGACTGAATTTGGTTCCATCCAAAAAAGTTCCCTCAACCTAGAGATTGAAGAAATTCCAGATTGCATAAGCATTTCCGGATTAAAAAACAGCAAAAACATAATAAAAAAACAAGCTTAGTATTGATTCCATAGTATGCATGCTATGGTGATAAATTAATGAGTTCTAAATGTTTGACCAATTCTTGCAGCTTTAGCCAGCTCATATTACATGTTATTTAGTGTCGCTATCCAATTTTTTACCATCGAAATTCTCATAGAAAATCAACTTGATAACTAATGGGCATTGAGAACGATACATAATTGCATCTTTCCCTTGATGTTTGCATGAATAATTTATTTGCAAAAGAAGAAACGCAAGAGATCAAGCAGGTAGGTCAGGGATCCACGACAATGGATAATACAGCACATTAAAAAATTAGAATATATCCAAGTTTAACACTAGAGGAAGTGCAGAAAGAAAGAAAGGAAAATATTATAGTTGTGAAGCATGAAGCATTCAAAGAGAATGTGAGAGCAGAAAAAAAAACTTGCATGAAAATTATCTAATATATAAAATTAAGGATGAGAAAAAAAAAAGCATGCTGTTGTATAAAGCTCAAAATTTACAATATATAATTAAAACATAGCCCAATTGACTCCAATGAGCATTTCTCCTATAACTAAACTTTGAAGTAGCATCAAAATTCAAAAGCATCAATTGAGTTACAACAATTTACTTTTTAGCAAAATATCACTTAGACAGCAAGCAGTAAAAAAAACCAATCCGCTTTTCAAACCCTCTTTTACAAAACAATTTCAGAGACAGAAGTTCAAAAAAGGTACTAGATTGATACACATAACACACTGTTTTCCATACTACATAATCAGCAGAATACAACCTGAACAGTGTTTAAAAGGGTGACAGCTGGAAAGAACCTGTCTCCTAAAACAATGTATAAATATAAAAATCCAGTTAGAGAGAACTTGACATGGATTAGATGCATATTTCAATAATGATAGTGATAACCCCATCAATGGATATTCAGGTATAAGTACATCCATGTTCCAAGGATTTCATAATGCAAAACAAAAATTCCATTATTTAAGAATAATAAAAAAGTCATTAGGTTTCAGCACCCTGTTGCTATTATAATTTAAAGCATGAAGATATAATGCCCATTAAAAATATTCATTAATCCATCGCCCCTTTTTCTACACTCCATCTCAAAACTGCTACATTTCCCTCCTCGGTAGCTCCACTTCAAAAGTACCAAGAAAATAGACATCCAAAGAGCTTTTCTTACAAAAGTTAACAAGAAGACTAATCAGATATATTGCTACATTTCCACTTAATGGATGAGTAGAAAGTGCCTAACTATTACCAATTGACTACTACAGAAATGTCACAATTTTTCAAGCCTAATGAACAAATGAAGGAAATTTAACGTTGTAAATATATCTATAGTGTTGATTGCATTTGTTTTGGTTCCCTATGTTGGTTTGAGTCTTGGGGGGGGGGGGTCTCCCCCTCTTTGTCCTCTCGGTTCCCTGCCTGCCCGTTCCTTCCCTGCGCCTATTCTGATCGTTGCTGCTCCTGTTCTCGCATGCCCTCTTCGGTGCTGCTCCAGCCGTTGCATGTGGCCTTTTGCCTCCCCTTTCTGATGGGAGGTGGCGGCTGTTTGGCTTTTTGGCTCCCTCTCTTCACCTATAAATATAGCCTTTTGTGTTTATTTTAAAGGTTATTATAAATGTCATGATTTTTGGAAGGTGAAACCTGGTTTTGTATAGCTTGCGAGCTATCCTCTTCTGCCTCTTCTCTTCTAAATTTTCGTCTTCGACTTCTAATCTCTTTCTTCTCTCCGCAAGTCCCACCCCATTTGTATCTTCTTCTTGATCAAGAAAAAACTTTTTAGGTGTTTTTATGTTCTGAAATAATGAAAGTTGTAGTGGTTTTTAGATATCTTATTTCTTGTGTTAGTTCTGTATTTTTTTGAAAGAAGAAGAAAGTTTATATGCAATCAATCTACCCTATATAATTTTGATTGATTGCATCAACTTGGTATCAGAGCCTAAGTTTCTTCGTGTCTTCCTTTTTTAAGTTTAGAAAAATGGGAAAAACATTTGCCGACCCCACGTTAGTGATATAAAGATGATGATGTTGTTTTTTGTAGAAAAAATGAAAAACATGAAACCAGGTGAAAATCAGCCAGGTAATCTTGAAGTCCAATTCCAACCAACAGCTGGTTCCTTCCCAAGGCATTTCTACCGATCCGATTCAAAATGAGTTATACAAACTTCATGATGAAAAAGCACTTGTAAAAAAAATACGATAAGAAAAACAAACTTCTACAAGACCAGTTTAAGCAAGAAAGATAAGTGATTCAGAGAAAATATACAATCTTAATTCAAGTATTAAAGTGACCTTCGACCGTCAGGAATGTTTCTTAAGCATTCTCGTCAGGAGATGAGCTCTGTCAACCGGGCAAGGTTGCCGGGGGTGTTCATCCCCCCTGTGGCCCTTCGTTTCCTTTGCTTGGTCGGGTTCTTCCCCCTCTGTTTGACCTTTCAGTTCCTCTGCCTGTCCGATTCCTTCCCTGGCGCCTGTTCCGATCGCTAGCTGCTCCTGTTCCTGTGTGCCTACTCGTGTGCTGCTCTAGCCATTGCATGTTGGCCTTTTGCCTCCCCTTTTCTGATTGGGTTGTTGGGCGGCTTTTTGGGCTGTTAGGCTCCTTCTCTTCACCTATAAATATAGGTTGTTTTGTGGCTATTTTAAAAGGTTTAAGGTATGAAAATGTCATGATTTTTGGAAGGTGAAACCTGTGGGTTTCATATAGCTTGCGAGCTATCCTCTTCTACCTCCTCTCTTCTAAAATTTCATCTTGGACTTCTAATCTCCTTCTCTCCGCAAGTGTCCATCCCATTTGTATCTTTCTTCTCAATCAAGGAAAAGTTGTTTTAGGTGTTTTTATGTTCTAAAATATATGAAAGTTGTAGTGTTTTTAGATATATTATTTTTTGTGTTAGTTTCTTGTGTTTTTTGAAAGCAAGACGAAAATTTATATGCAATCAATCTACCCTATAGATAATTAATTGCATCAAGTCTCTAGTTGCCAATATTTTAAAATAAAATGCATGAAAGCAAAGCATTTGACCTTATGATTAACTTCAATGATTTATCTCATTTCTCTCAATTTCTCCTATTTTTAGTTATTGGCTTGTGGTGATTGAGATTTGATCAAGTATACTACAATATAATTTTCCCTTTGCTGTGTGAATACTCTTAACTTCATGATTTCGATTTTGATCTCAGATTTTCTTACAAATATTAGATTTTAATGGCCTTTAAATTATTAAGAGTAAGTTCAATGTATTTTCTAGATGTACATCAAAGATACAATCTAAACTTAAGAATTAGTGGACCGCAAATTTTGATGTTGTGTCCTCTTTCTCTAAATCGCACCGTAAATTTTTATTAGTCAGACCCTGGAATCTAAAGATGTTCTGGTGTCCTACATCAACCAAGATGCTAAATAATGAGAAAGTTTGATATTTTGATGTGCTTACCCCTAATTAAAAGTATCATGTAAAGTGAGATCGCGCTTCACTAATAGGGCCTAACACTTGCTTTAGCCACATAAAATTATACATGTCTTGTTGATGAGCATATGTTTGAAAAAAGAAAGGTGTGAAATGTTCATGGGTTTAAATTACAAAAATTAGTAGGAATGGAAAGAAAACATTGAAAAAAATAGCTAAAATTATCTTAAAGATACTTAGTGGCTTCATTGATTATGATCTAAAAATTTTTTAAATCAAATAATCATTAAATAACTCCAACCCTAGTATATGAGCAGCTTTCCCCATGTCACTTATTCTGAAAGCTTTCCAACTACTTGTAAATATCTAAACAAGTTTTCATCATATCTTAAGGCAAATTAAGGGATGAAAAGATTATTTTTTGGTGATTGGAATCAAAACAAAATATAACTAAAAACCTAAAGCATTCCTCAATGAGATTTGGGAGACCAACTAAATCTTGAAGAATGCTAAATATCTAAGTGTGTCTGGTACCCATCTAAAGTCATGTAAAACACTACTTACTAGGTTTACACAATAAGTCATTGAATAACATAGCAATCCATCTTTATCAGAATATTCACATAAAGCACTTCATAACTGATAAGTTAGGAAACATTAATAACACCAAGCCAACCAGGAAAAGCAGAAAAATAGTCTTTATGATCCATTGGACAACATATTTGATCCTTACAATAGTTTTTATCAAAAATATAAATAAAATTGAACCATATCAGGACAACTCTAATAATAAAAACTAAAAAAGTGTTGTTGTCAAATCACTGCACCTTCCCAAGAGTTGTTTCCCAATATCCATCAAATCTGTAACTGTCTTATCTCCATCACGAACAAACTCCAAAATCTATGAATCAACAAATATAAAAATATTTAGAAAGTTCAATCCAACCACTGACTTGAGTTTCATCAAGTCACTGAGAATTTGAAGCGCCAAAATCATCAGATTATGGTTATAGAGCTATCCAATAGTGTTTCATAATAATCTGAATGGTTTTACAAACAGCAATATAGATAAGGTAAGGTGTATAACTGTAAAATATCAAAGATCTACTGCTTATAAACACAATTCTAAGTCCTTCAAACTGAAAGCTAAAATGGATGCATATTAAAGCTTGAAAGTATTAACGTCAAAAAGCTGGCATTAGAATATCACATATGGTATCCAGGGAAAAATCTCAAGTGAAAGGGTTGTAGTGAATTAATAAAGTAGTAAAAATCTTAATTACAAAACCTATTAAAATAATATTTTAAAAAAATGTGTAGATAATACAAAAGATCATATTTGGAATGTATATTGTTTCGAATTACATCAGAATATCACCATAAGAGCCCATAATCATAAAGAATCAGATGAGAAAATTAGAAATCAAACTGGATAATTAGATACTCAAGGCAATGATAAAAACATGATAATGGACATAAATGCATGATGAACAGGTGAACTTGAGAATAATTCAATTGTCTACTGCGACAGTTTATCCAAAAAATACTTCACTGGAAATCAAAATTCAAGGATGACATTTTCTCAAAATATTCAAAATTTTAAGGAAAAGATTTTTCAATGAAAAGGTTAAGAAAATAATATGCAAATTATTTCAATATGAATAACTTGGTAAAGGGCCAATATGCATAAATCAGATATGATTGAAAAAAGAAAAATAAGAATTAAAGGTATTTACAAAAATAATTAAATTGAAACAAAGGTAATCACAAGACATTGATTTAGGTTTATAAAATGACCGATTCTACAAACATATATCACAAGCCAAAAATATGTTAAGTTTCACTTCAGATTCATCTTAAAACTTGCAACAATATGTTGATCAACAAGTTGCTGAAAAAAAAATATCAAGTTATTTACTATGTTTTAAAGAATATCAATATAACGTGTTTAAAAAAATTTGATATTTATTGTATTTTAAACCATTTTTATTTTTGAAAAAGTATCAAGTCATTTTTAAAATACTCAAAATATTTTTTAGGTACTTTGAGTCAACCACCACGGTCGGCAACTACAACCACTGGCAACGGCTGAAACCACCAACGACCAACATCATCAACCATGGAACTTTGTCGACCACCACTGCTGGCCATTACCACCATCCATCAGCAATCGCCAGTCCGCCACTACTTCTTGCAATGCAACCCCTGCAGCTATCATCGCCTTGTCAACTGTTGCCGTCACCACCGAAAACCACTACCAATGCTCCAGACCGTAATAAAAACAAGATAACGAACATAAATGTGTGGTGAATAAGTGAACTATGTTACTTCACTGAAAATCAAAAGCCTAAGCGGTTCATCTATGGCATTTCATACAATACCCATAAGTAACAGTCACTAAGAGCATCTCCAACCGAACGCCAAACATGCGTATGGCATCATTCGGTCGCTCCAGCCGAACCCCAAATCTTCCGCTATTTGCTTGTGGCAAATAGTGCGACGCCAATATTGGTGTTACATTGTTCACCAACGCAATTTTTGTGTTTCAACCGGATTTGCCGAAGAAATGCGCCAAGAGGAGAAAGACGATTAACCTTTGCAGAAGCCCGTAAAATGGAGTTTGATTAGAGATGAATCACAATATTTTTGAGTTTCACTATATTTTGGAGTTAAAAAAGGGATTTTCGGTTGGAGATGCCCTAAAAACTCATTTTACTATTCCAGGGCATAACTCACATACACAATAATCAGATCAAATATCCAGCTAAATAATAATCAACGCAATGGAAATGTCAATTATTCATGCCTTAACAATTCAAAGCGAAACAAAAACTTTGTATCACCTACTTGTACTTTCAAGATTAATGTTTAGTACTGACTACAAACTACAGTAAATAATAAAATTCTCACTTCACATTCCTGATAAAGGGGCGAAGCAGCATAACAAAAATATTCAAGCAACTTCTAAGAATTTGAATCGTCGACTAGCACCTGAGTCGCAATCAACGCAACGGCCTCCGTGTAATTGAGTCGGAGACCACGAGCAAGACGTTTCTGCGATAAGAAACCGGCGTTATGTAGTGCTAACTTCTCCCCTTCCCTGGGTACTAGCTTCATTTTTTAGGAAGGCGCCGCACAAGCTTGATGCGTAGATAAATTTCAGCGAGCAATTTAGAACATTGAACATCGAAACCGACAAAACAAAACCCTAGGGGCTGTTTCGCAACAAGTTTTTTCTTTTTTTTTTTTCTTTTTTTTTGAAAATTTGGGGCGACGTTACTAAATTTTTCAGAGTCATAAATCCTGAAAATTATTAGATAAAAAAAAATTTTGATAAATTTTGTGAGACGGTTGATAAACTCAGGATTTTAAGTTAGCTCATGAAAATTTTCAATTTAATTTATATTTAAAATATAATTTGTATTTAAAAATGATATTTATTAATTTTTGTTTAATATTATCAATAATGTAATTAAAAGTTAACTTGATTATCAAATAATATAATTTATAATTTAATTATTAATTTAAGTAATATTATCTAATTATTTATTTATAAGTTTTTCTTTTGCATGATGAATTACTTCAAATTTTTAGTCATGTTTCTTGAACATCCACTGTCCAATTACCACATATTCTTACTTGGTCTTATGTGAGAGCACTCCTAAAAAGTCAATCAAAAGTTAGATTTGGGAACCCAAATAAATTTGAGTTTCACCTTATAATTTGATGAATGACTTGCATGCATGCTATGTTGTTGTGCAACTGATTTAGGCCTCCACACTAAATGTGCCGTATGGTGTATCATGTAAGTGCGGTCTCATCAGACCTATCATACCACAATAATAACACCTAACCCTGGGAAATATATTTACAAGTTTATGTTGGGGTTTGTGCCTCTTCCTAGGGGTATATGATGTATGTAGTGACATGGGGTACCATTGTGTCAATGTAGGTGGTGATTTATTATGTTGAAGTGCATGTATTTTTTCTTTTAGGAACTCGTTTGCAATTTCAAGACTTATAACTTTTAATTTTAATGAAAGCTCATTATGATATAGTTCAGTTGCAAATGCTTCTAACTATTTGTATGAATATTCTAAATCAAGATACTTTGATTTTAAAGATTCATGTGTAATAGTTAGGTCAACATGCTTATTATTTAATGCATCAAATTCATCGAATAAGGACATATGATTTCTATCTTGAGCAAAATGTTCAACTATCAGATTATCATGCTCTTTTCATAAAGTAAAAAAAGAAATGTTTAAGCTAGCATACATATTTTTAAACTTCCTAAATAAGTCATGAATTTTTGTCATATATAATAAATAGTTCATCATAAGATAGCTAATATATCTTATCTTTATCTAAATTATCAAGACTATTATTAGTCATAAGACACAAATTAGTTACCTCCTCCTTTGCTTCCAGATGATTCTGAGGCAGAGTCAGCCCAATAATCCATATTTTATAATGATTCCCCTTTTAAAACTTTGCCTTCTATTCACCATTCTCCTTGACTATGTGAGTTTTCAAATTGGGGCATTCAGTTCCAAGTGGCCTGATTTCCTAAATTCAAAATAAATTATGTCAGTCGATGCTTTAATTTTTTTTTTTTTTTTAAATATCGAGTTATCAGTGCAATATAATCATCCTCCTCACCTACAAAATTGTCATTATCTGAGTCATTGGCTTTCAACATCACAGTCTTCTCCTTTTTCCTACCACTTGCATCAAGTAATCTCTGACTCACGCCATACTTGTAGGCATTGCGTGAGCTAATCAAGTTATTTATAAAAATATACATTCAAGACTTTTGATTCAGAAATTGTAGTGACCTTAGCATCATAAGCACTAGGTAGTAACGTAGAATTTTATTAACCTTTTTTGAAATTAGAAAGTTCTTTACCTAATGCAAGTAATGATGTCACAATCTGAGTGAATCTAGTGTATATTTAAAAAAAAAAATTGCTATGATGCATGCAAAATAGTTTATAGTTATATAACAAAATATTTAATTTAGATTGTTTGACTTTACTAGTACCATCATATGTGATACACATTCTATCTCATATTTACTTCCATATAGTACATGTAGACACTCTCATGTAATCCTCAAATTTCAATGCACATAAATAATAATTCAAGCATTTTGTAATTAATTGAGCAAGCTGTTTATCTTTATTACTCCATTTAGTAAATAGGACATCAATTTTGACTCCATTAACTATACATGATGGAAGTGAAGAATCAGATTGAATCTTGTGCAAAATTTTAAAATTAATATATTACGTAAATATGGATATGCGGATTTTTTAAATCAAATAGAATATTTTCAGACAAAGGCGGACAGGTTATAGAAAAACCTTGTGCAGTATTTTTATTAGCAAAATGCACCATAAGATCTTTACTTTTGGATTTCAAAATCATAAATTCTAAGACCTGCTTTGATAACACTTGAAATTTCAGGGGAGGTTGTAAGTGTTGACCTTATTTTTGTATGAGGTCATTAGGGTATGTAAAAACTTTTGCTTAGTGGTCCTAGGGTTAACAGTTGTCCACTTGTCAATCATAGAGATCCCAAATAATTTTCAATCCATCCTTCAATTCAATTTCCACTCCATACTTCTATCTTGCTTATATTTATAGTCCAATCTGATTTTCAATTAAATCTTGGTCTTATCCAATTAACCCCAGTCATTTATCTAATTGTGATTAATTTGGATATTCCAAATCTTACTCAATTAAACCCAAAATCCAGCTCAAGCCCAGACTTCCAATTCAAAACCTAAGCCCAAGAGCCTAAGTCCTGAAAACATTTATATATGAATTTTCTATCACATGGAAATCTAGTTAAATAACCCCTGATTCATGATCTGTCAGTTGCATATTGACTTGGTATGTCTCTAGAGCCAGCCCTCCAAATTTGAGCTCATTCTAAGGTCTCTAACTCTAGAAAATAAATCTATTTATTAAAGGCAGCAAAACCTTTAAATATTTATGGCCTATGCCACTAGACTTTGTTGCAAATCTATTTTCATGACTTATGTTTTGATGATCGACAAACACTATTAATTATCTTGGACTGCCTATTACTTCTAACTTTTCAGGAATCGAAGATCGGATAAACAAACGAAGCCAGTTCAAGATTACGTAGGTTTCGAGATGAGTCAGTCTGTACTTTGTTTTTCTCTTCTCGAGTCTATTTGTAATGTTCAAGAGACTGATGCTAAGT